TTATTGCAGGCATGTTAGTTTGGGGAAAAGAAGATACATGTGTGAATATAGAATGCCAACCCAATCTTTGATTAACTAACCTTTTATCAGGGGAATGGACAGGGTGGGACTAACACTTTTGGCTAGCCAACATTACATTATACCGCATTTAGTTTATGGAGCCTGTTGATATACTCAAAGATGACATTTTAAATGAGTTTTTTTGTATCCTTGTCTTTCATTTATATGGAAAATCAAGAATTATGTCTTTTAAGTTCATACTTTGTAATAGTCTTATATGTAAAGAATGCGAAAGACATAGATATTTTGTCTGGTTGTAATATATGATAGGTTTGCGATTCTATTTATCTGAATACTACTCCTTTCAAAATTTCTGTGTCCGTAACTGCTCTCCAGGGATTGTGCATTTATGAGTGCAAATGACCTGATTTTTATAAAATAAAAACTAGCTCTTCTTTGGCAGGCAAAACGTTTTCAGTGAAGTGATCTCCTTTCTTACATTAAATAACAAAGATTGGATTTTTTTAAATGTTTTGTCTATGCAACATCTTTAACACTTTAATTGATTTGAAATGATCTTGGCCTTGTAAAGTATGCTCACTAAATGCTTAGGTTTTTCTTTTTTCTTTGAACCAGTGTAAGCATTTTACAGCACCTGGTTCTTTGAAAAGCAGAATCCATGCCATACCTACAAGATGGCATACTGCCAAGAAAGTCCTTTTGTGTGTGTTTGTGGTGAATCATTCAGAGTCTGTAAGACTGATCAAAATTGCACTGTTTGAAAACCTTGTTTTCCCTATTTTTTGTCTCTGATGATTCATACTTTAGTACTTTTATGTCTAGATTATCTTTTCTTTCTTGTTTCTCATCATGTTCATTCAGAAGATGTTCTTTCACTAGTTCCAAAATTTGTATTTCTATATTCTGTCAGTTTTCATCTTGAAACATACACACAGCAATATGCTCTGAATCATAAAATTCTGCATTAAATCCCAACACTTAAAAAACCCACATATTCTCAGTACAGCTTTACCTGCAATTCTGTTCCCATTTTCATTCAGTAAAAATTTGTTAACATTTTATATTCACTGGCACATGAACCTTTATTATTTCATCTGTTAGAAGATTTTGGATGCAAGAAACTTAAAAATCAATGTGAGTGGCTTAAACAGTAGGACAGTTAGTACATCATAGTCATGACTGAATATGAAAAGTACCCTGGCTTCAGTGTTAATTAAATGAATAGTTCAGTAATGGTCTCAAGGACTCAGGTTCTTCCCATCATTCTCTTTGGCCATTCTTTTAAGTCAGTTTTATTGAGGTATTACATCTAATTTTATTTACATCTGTTACAATTCATAAATTTTAAGTGTAAAATTAAATGAGTCTTGACAGATGTATAATCATGTATTCACTACCACAATCAAGAAATTAAACATTTCTATCACTCCAAAAAGTTGCATTAGCCCCTTTGCAGTAAATCCCATACACCAACCTAGTCCCTGGCAATTTCAATGGAATTTTACAGTATGTACTCTTTGTGTCTTTTTTCCTTCACGCAGCATCATGCTTTTGATAGCCATCCAGGTTTCTGCTTGTATCAGTAGTTTGTTTCTTTTTATTACTGAGTGATATTCCGTTGTATAGAGGTATGTTGTATACCACAATTTTTGTATCCATTCACTAGTTGATGAGAACTCGAGTTGTTTCCATTTGTTGGCTATTACATAAGAAGCTGCTATAAACATTCACATAACAAATCTTTGTGTACATGTAGTTTTGCATTTCTCTTGGGTAAATACTTAGGAACATGATTCCTGGGTCATATTTTATTTATATGATTAATATACAAAACAAAGTGGTTGTACCATTTTGGATCTCCAGCAGCAATGGAAGAGAGTTCCAGTTACTCCACACAATTACCAAAACTTGGTATCTTAAAAGTGTTTTTTGAAGAGCAATACATTTTATATTTTAATGAATTTATCAATTTCTTCTTTTACAATTTCAGTTATTTTTTAGGTGGTGGTACATTCTAATTACACAAACTCAAAGATCACAAAGATTTACCAAGTCCATAATCATAAAGACTTTCTTCTAGGTTTTCTTCCAAAATTTAAAAAAAAAAATAGCTGTTATATTTAGATTTACGTCTATATCAACTTCAAGAACATTTTTATGAGGGGTATGAGTTAAGGGCTGAGGGTACACATTTTGGTGATGTCCGGAGACATTTTTGGTTATCATAACTTACAGAGGAAGGAGTGGTGCGGAGTCCCGGGTTGCTGCTAACTAACCTACAACGCACAGGAGAGTTCACCTTTTGACCATCTTCCCTTTCTCAACAAAGAATTATCTGGCTCAAATATCAATTGTGCCAAGGTTGCAAACGCTGTTTGAGGTCATAGTAAGGACTGGCTTATAGAGAGTGAACTAGATTGACACTGAAATGTTTTGAGCAGAGAAATGATCTAATTTAAGCTTTCAAAAAGATCATGTGGCTGTTTGTTGTGAACAGACTGAAGGGGTTGACGGGTAGGAACTAGGATAGGGTTTACAGAGATACTACAATTATCCAGGAAAGAAATGATGGTTTGGACCAGGATGATAGCAGTAGGGGTGGTGAGAAGTGATGGACTCTAGATCTAATTTGAAGGTTGAGCTAACAGGACTTACTAAATGTCTGTGTCCTCCTAAAATTCCTATGTTGAAACCTCATCCGCAGTGTGATGGTCTTTGGAGATGGGACCTTTGGGAGGGGATTCAGTCATAAACTCCCAGCCGTCAGAAATATGAGACATAAACGTTTGTTGTTTATAAACAAACACGTACCCTCTGGTATTCTGTTATGGCAACCTGAAAGGACTGTGACACTAAAAGACTGGATATGCAGGTGTGGAGAGGAGCCATGTAGGTCCCTCCCCTCAAAACCTAATCTGTTAGGACTGATTCTGGAGCTGCCTCTTCCCTAAGAATGTAACCTGGAGAAAGGGACAGAAGCCCACACAAATAATGGGAGAAAGAATGCCCATATGAACCTTTGGGTAGGCAACAATAGTACCTATTCCAGATGTCCAAATAAGAATGGGCATTGTTGGATTTGTGAATGACTACTACATAAAGACGATGGAGTTTCTTTAAAGATGTTTTCACAGCTACAGCACCAGGTGCCTTTTAAGAAACGTCTCTTTATGCAATCTTTCATTTGGTGACAGTCTGAGAGATGTAGGTAGTCCTAAAACCCATTCCATCAAACTCATTAAAGGACTTTGATTTTTCCTTTCAGTATTTGCATCCCAAGCACTTACTGATTCCTACAGAGGAAGTTGGTGTATTGCTTAATAATTGCTTTCTGAGCATGTGCTTTGTCTTCCCTAAAATATTATAAGCTTACTATGAATCATTATGTGTTAGAAACTATTTAACATAATTGTCTCAATTACGGTAATAGTCTTATAACTATAACCTGATGAAGACCTTCTCCTTGACTAAACTCTGATCAGGCTTCCCTGAACTCTTTTTGGACTTCCATGTTCTCTCTACAATTGTCCAATTTTAGCACGCATCCAGTTAAGTCAGTTTAGCCAGAATCCCCCATCCTCCATAACTGATAGACCCTAAATCTAATGGAGTTCCTCATCCCCCACAGAATCCTGTTAGCTCAGTTTAGCCAGAATTCTCCCCTTACTCCTGCTGTTCCCTCTCAGTAATATCCTATCCACTGCTTCTTGGATGTAAATTCCCACTTTGGGTTCTATTTGGAATTGAGCGTAGTTCTTTGTCCTATTGCAACTGTTTGAATAAAACCTTCCTTACAATTTAACGTCAGACAATTTTTCTTTAACAAACCTTATAATCCAAATAATAGTGTTATTTCCATTTTGCACACAACAAAATTGCAGTTTGTAAAGTAATTACATTTAATCAAGATTATCCAATTTGTAAATGGGGCGTTATTTATAATAATCAAGATATGGAAGCAACCCAATTGCCCATCAATAGACAACAGGATAAACAGTGGTGGTACATATACACACTAGAGTATTATTCCGCCATTACAAGAAAAAATGTTAACCATTTGTGATAGCATGGATGGACCTAGAGGGTATTATGCTAAGTGAAATGAGTCAGACAGAGAAAGACAAATACCACATGATTTCATTTATATGTGGAATCTAAAGAACAAAATAAACGAACAAAATTAGAAACAGGCTCATAGAGAACAGACTGATAGTTGCCAGAGGGTAGGGGAATAAGGGGATGGGTGAAAAATAGGTGATGGGGATTAAGACATACAAATTGGTAGTTACAGAACAGTCACAGGGATGTAAAGCACAGCACAGGGAATACAGTAAAAAAATATTGTAATAACTATATTGGCGGATGGGTACTGGAAACATCTGGGGGAATACTTTGTAAAGTAAGTGACTGTCAAACCACTACACTGTACACCTGAACCTAATACAAACTAATATTAAATATAAACTGTAATTGAAAAATAAAAGTAAAACCAAGATTATCCAATTTGTAAATCGGTCTTGAGCCTTAGAGCCTAAACGCTGTGTTCCAGGCCCTCCTTTTCGCCCCAGGGCTACTCTGTTAGTTTTCTGGGAAGTGCTTGCTCAGACTTGGTGACTGAGTTGGAAGTTCTAGTTGCTTAGATCATGGAACAGGAGACCTCAGATCCCACCTACACAAATGTGCGTCCTGGATGTTCACACGGAAATGATGGCTGATCTTCCAGGCTGGCGGGCGAAGTGCATGGTGTCAGCCCAGCTCCCGTTCGCTTTTGAGACCCGCCGCTTCCTCTTCCCCTGGGCGCCCGGCGGCGCGGACAGGCCCAGGGAAAGCACCGGCCGCGGCCTGCCCGCCACTCCGCGGGCCCGGCCCGGCGTCTCCGCCCCGAGCGAGGCGGTGCCGGGCGCAGCGGAACCAGGTGCCGGCCAGTCCGTTCGGCCCCTTCCCGTGGCGGCCCCGGCGCCGGACCCGCCTCCCCGCGGGATTGGAGGCCCGCGGCCCCGCCCGGCCCGCGAGGGCAGCGGGGAGCGAGCGCGCGGCGTGGACGCCCAGGGCCCGTGTTCCTCCTCCCGCTGCGGGTCCAGGCGCGCCGCGCCCCAGGCCCGGGAGGAGCCGCCTTCGGAGGGAGACGCCGGCCCGGAGGGTCCCTGCTGCCGCGGTTGGTCCCTGACTTTTTCCTAAGTCGAGTGAGAACCCGGCGCCCCCTTTCGCTCGCGTTTGCCCGGAGCGCCGGGGGGAGTCGGTCCGGGGCGAGCGAGAGGCGGGAAGGGAGCCTCCAGGCGCCGGCGGGCTGCGCGCTGGGTCGGGCCGGCCCTCCCCGCGGACCGGGGGCTGGGCGCGCGCTCCCGCCCCTGCCCCGGCCGCGCGCCCCACGCCCGGTCCTGGCTCGAGTTCTGGTTCTGGTGCCGGTTTGCCCCCCGGAAGCTTGTGTGGAGCCTTTTTCACAGCCCCGGGAAGGAGTCCAGAAGCGGGACACCGGCCACTGGCCTGGAGGGAGGCTGCGGGGAACGGGAGCTCGGGATCCGCGCCCGGGAGGTGCCTTTCAGAGTCAGTTTCATTTCAGGTCTCCAGTTCGCGTGCTAGCTGCCTTTATCCACTTTAGACTTATTTAGAGTTGTTGCCCAGCAGAAAGTTGTTCTTTGGAGACTTTTAGGCTTGAAGCCAGCGAATATGGATTGGACACTAGTGAATACCAAGTACTGGTTCGGGGGGAAGCCCCACAAAACTTTTTCCTACTTTAGGCTTCGTTCACCATCTAACTTCCCGGCTTCCCTGGGCTCCTGTTAGCAGGAGGGCAGGTCAATATCCTTAGAGGTTTCAGCTGCGTTTCTTTGCGCGACCTGGGACCTTGCTGTAAAAGATGGCAGGGCATCGGATTGGATTAAAGTAAGTGAAGGACAGAAAGCCTATTAAAAGGCACAGAAACGATCTCATTCCGAAGCTGGGAAGATGATACAACGAAACTTTACATTAACTTTTATTCAGAAGCGCTCAACACTTTAAAAACATGATTTGGAAATACAGGATTGCAGTTACCTTCACGTTTAAATGGGTTTCAGGCATATATGCTGTCCCCTCCACCCCCTAAGAAATGTTCTCTCCCAGTGCAAAAGCTCTCATTGTGAAATTCACTAACCTGTGTTCAAGTCTAATGAACCGATTCAAGTTGTGTGACTGTTCTGGGGAGTCTGTGCTTCTGTTGTTGCCAATACCACGTTCATCTCTCGGGGCAGGGCAGTTTTCACTTTGGTGAAGGTGGGGAAGGGACAGGGCACGGGAAAACCGAAAGGAGCTGGAAGAGGAGTGTGCAGGCCTGAAACTGCCCAGTGGCCTAGACTTCTGCTAAATTATAAATCCTTTTATAAATCATAAATCCATGAAAAACCCCCAGCTTCTTTAACAAATACTCTGTGTCATATGCTGGGTTTGGCAATGGTGTACATTGCCATTTTCCCAATCCATAGTTGTATTTCCTCCTGACCCAAGACCTCATGTCAGTGAAAGGAACGTGTAAAATTTATTCTCTCTTTTTCATCAGAAATTGTGAACTCGGCTCTTAAGCTGTTAATAGTATCATGGACCCCCAAATGAATTTTGGAAATGTTGTGTTAAGTTAAACAGGCTTGCATTTTGTGTCATGTTTTTTTGTTTGTTTTTTACCATCAGTACCTCGTAGATTTCAACATTGTAATATATGTGAAGCTCCCGTTTGAACAAACCCAAGTGGCCGGAATCCTAATTTCTAGGAACCGGGGAAAGTGTTCCCTAGAAGACATTTTTGAGAAATGTATATTGACCGGAATATTTTGTTGCCGCTGTTTTTATTTTTTAATCACTGACCTCTCCCCTCTTCCTCCAGCACAAGTGATGCCACCAAGAAGAAATGAGAAATACAAACTTCCTGTCCCACTTCCAGAAGGCAAGGTTCTGGATGATATGGAAGGAAAGCAATGGGTGCTGGGCAAGATGATTGGTGCTGGAGGTTTTGGATTGATATATTTAGGTAAAGTATAACTGTCTATTACCACATGTTCTTACATATGTGACTGTAATGTTTTGACATTGAAACTTTGAAATGAAATAGAATAAATGGGCTTTAGTAATATGAAGATAGTTGATATGTAGTAGAACTTCCAGTTTCAAAACATGACTGGTCTCAGTCCTTGTTGTTCATTTTTTTTTTACTTTTTCCTAAAGGACCCTTAGAAGTCTTTTCAGAGCCTAATTACACAGGCTGCCAGACACAATGTTAATGTTCTTTTTTGAGAATGTGTTTTCCTGGAAACATTGCTTTTTTACAGCTGGGAAACCACAACTACATAAACACTTTCCATTTGTGAATCTGATTAATATTTAAGTAATATAAGATCTGGTCATTTCTTAATTAGTCTCTACTAGAGAATTGTCCTTTAATATCTCAAAGCATCTACTGCGTGGAATGAATTTTCTCTCCTGTGCATCTAGAGCAGCGGTTCTCAACTTGTGGGTCACGACCCCTTTGGGGGTCGAACGACCCTTTCACAGGGGTCGCCTAAGACCATCGGAAAACACATATATAATTACATATTGTTTTTGTGATTAATCACTATGCTTTAATTATGTTCAATTTGTAACAATGAAAATACATCCTGCATATCAGATATTTACATTACGATTCATAACAGTAGCAAAATTACAGTTATGAAGTAGCAACCAAAATAATTTTATGGTTGGGGGTCACCACAGCATGAGGAACTGTATTAAAGGGTCACAGCATTAGGAAGGTTGAGAACCACTAATCTAGAGTCTACTGGTTGTGCTGTCTTTGGGATAATTGAGAAAATAGACGCTCGATATTATTTTCTGAGTTCTTTGGTGCATGGAGCCTTAGCTGAGTATACTTGTACACTATATTTAAAAATGTTTACATTACACTGACTTTTAAAAGGCTCATTCAGGGATACCTTAAACCTGTAGTTTAATGATTAGAGGATATCTATAACAAGAGTGGATTTAATGAATAAAATCAGGTAAATATTAATGATATAAAAAAATTACCTTCAAGGATAAGTTTTCCTAAATGTATTGACTCATTACATCTGTTTCTACAGGAGTTTAAGAAGTGGTAAAAGACCCCATTGCAGGAATCTTGGGTTCCTCATTAAACATTTCCAACTGCTGGGGAGGAAAGGACTATTCCTCTACCCTCCCAGGTTCGATAGCTGGGTTTATGAAATGAATTGACAACAGGTAGATTAACAGGAAACAAGTGTACAAATTTACTCATTTTTAATGTTATGCACATAGGGATATTATAGGGAAAAAAAGGGAACATCCCAAAAAGGCCTGGTGCACGACATTAGTGCACTGGGGGTGGGTCCCTAGCCCGGTCTGCACCCTCTCGCAGTCTGGGACTCCCTGGGGGATGTCTGACTGCGGGGAGCAGGCCTAAGCTGGCAGTCAGTCGGACATCCCCCAAGAGGTCCTTAGCGCTGCCACGGAGGTGGGAGAGGCTCCCGCCACTGTTGCTGCACTTGCTAGTCATGAGCCCAGCTTCTGGCTGAGCGGTGCTCCCCCTGTGGAAGCACACTGACCACCAGGGGGCAGCTCCTGCATTGAGCATCTGCCCCCTGGTGTTCAGTGTGCATCATAGCAACCGGTTCTGCTGTTCAGTCGAACTGCATATTAGCCTTTTATTATATAGGATCTTAATAGGGGAACACAAGGGATGACATGAATGGGCCCTTAGAAAAATAGATGGAGGATATGACAGTGTGTACAGATACACATATATATGTGCACATACTACTTGTGTGGTGAAAAGGAATTTATTTGCTCAGGCATGTGATTTGTCTCTTTTCAAATACAGAAAAATCTTTGCTTCTTTCAGTCTAAGTACATGCCAAATATTTTTTGCTTATTTTTTCTCATTGCCAAACAGTATTTGTTGTACAACAATTTTCAAGGTTCTATATGTTTGCAATACCTCCTACTATCTAAATTTTACTAGTAGAACCTGGATCCTGAAAATATTAGCAAGTGAACACCATTGAGGAAAGGCCATTAAACAAGGTTTAGCTGTTTGAAAAAAAGGATCTACAAAGAAGCTAAAATAAAACTGTCTCAAACGTTATCATTGTTCCATCAAAAGTGGCACCCATGACTCATAGAATCAGCTAAAAAGTGAGATGTTGCCAAAACCGGTTTGGCTCAGTGGATAGAGCGTCGGCCTGCGGACTGAAAGGTCCCAGGTTCGATTCTGGTCAAGGGCATGTACCTGGGTTGCGGGCATATCCCCAGTGGGAGATGTGCAGGAGGCAGCTGATCGATGTGTCTCTCTCATCGATGTTTCTAACTCTCTAGCTCTCTCCTTTCCTCTCTGTAAAAAATAAATAAAATATATTAAAAAATAAATAAATAAAAATAAAAAAATAAAAAATAAAAAAAAAAGTGAGATGCCATCAGCAGTAACTTCATTAAACTAGTTTGTAGTGATTATTTGCAAAGCTACCTACGCAAATCCATTGAAAATTATGTTTTTGCATTTTACCGTGGTTCTCATCACTTCTTGTGTAAAAGTGAAGAAGCTGGTAATTTCAGGTAGACTGTTTTAGCAGACACTTGATCCGCATTTGTTACCTAAGGCTGAGGAAAAACTAGCTTCTATGTCTAACTCATTGTACATATACAGCTGTTCTCTAGTTTTGAGATCAATAGCTAAGACCTTTCGGTGATCAGCAAAGGGTAGAGAAGTTTGCTGTTTACTCTTGACTTGAAGAAATGATGTGACTGTAGCATTAATAGTAACACTTACAAGAGGGGAAAAATTGAATACAAGAACAAAGTCAAGGTTCTTTTTAGTTTATGTGAAGAGAGGAAAAAGGAAGAAAGGAGACTGGATTAAAGCATGGGAAAAAATGCTGTCGTGTAGTATAAAATAAGTGGAAACGTTTCTAAGACTCCAGGGAAGGAGCGAGAACTGAGTATGAATTCTGCTCTCAGAGAATTTCACAAATAAGAGCATGGGTTTTGATGTTTGGCAAATCTGGGTTGAATTCTGACCTTACTAAGCCACCTAAAATGGTGTGACTTTTTCCTAGTAAAGAGTCTGTCTTCCTATTTTGTGTAATTGGGATAATATTAATTGTGAGGATTGAAATAATATTTTTAAACGGTTTAGAACTTGGTAAGCACTTACATTGAATGTGTTCATTGAATTAGAATTTCCCATCCTCAATGATAATTGAACTAACTCTAGGTTCAGTGTCTGGTGCCACAGGGGGTTAGGATGGTGACAAAGACATCTATTGGAGGGATTTTCCATTTTCCCTGCCAAGGATTGTGATAGATTTAGCTACTAATGTGGTATAACTAAGAACATAGGGAATGTCAGTGGAAGACTACGGCATTTTACTTACCAACCGTTAACTATTTTTCCCCTTAACGTTTATAGTAGTAGCCACCATGACATAGTGGAAAGTTCTCCTTTCAGCTGTCTTGTTTGCTCCAGATGTGAAAGATAATGGGTTTCAGAAGTTAGTCAAAAATCCAGAAACACAGACTCATAGGTAATAAGCTTCAGCTAAGTTCCTTTGAAGACTTGTATGAGGAAAAATGGAAATGATTTATCTGTGGAAGTTTTCGTTTTTGAAGTTGGGCATAGAGGTGACTCTTTAGCAGCTTTAGAATATCAAGTACAGAGTAGAGGATGTTCAAGAGTTCCTTGCCTGAGAGACTGAGATTGAGATCAGGGTATTTAACCCATACAAGCCAGTTTGCTTTATTCTCTTCCATAGTCATAGATGTCACCCTTAATTCCAGCCTGTAATCTTAGAGCCACACGAAAGGCTGGGACAGGTTAAATAGCAGGATGTCACCTAAAATAATCTATGTATGCTTTATTGATAGTGAATCAATAGCACCTTTCATGAAGAAGAATACATTACTAGAACTAAAATGAACTCTGGTGCAGCCTTACGACTGAGTCCTTTACGCATGGATAAATGTTTAGACTTCATCTAAGTAACCATCATTACACTTTTTTGGCCATGCTCTCCAGTTAGCTAATTTTTGATCTTCAGAAACACAGAGGCAGGGGAGTTGGTAGGGATACTAGGATTTTTAGAAATTATCAGAATTTAACTCACTTATTTGATTGTTAAGGAAACATACTTCTACTTATAAAGAAATAGAAAAGGTTATTTATACCAGTATGACTTTTACTTATTTTACTTTTCAGTCAGCTGTAATGGGTTGATTTTTAAGGTATGCAGAATAATGTTCAGAAGAGCCTATCACCAAAATGCAGCCATTGGAACACATATTGCTTCATTGCACACTGCTGTATTAAATGCTATTCTGGCAGTGTTTCACAGAGAAGGCTTTGAGATATGCAGCTTTATTTGACACTGCACCATTTGGATGCCACCACAACTGTTAGTAGGACATTTTGCAAACGATACTGACTGTGGGGTGGAAAAGAGAAGGAAATAAATAGGAAATAAGGATAACTTGTACTAGAAATTATATGAGATAAATTAGTTCACAGATGAAGGTGTAGAGAGAGAAAAGGTTATATACATTCAAAAGAGGAATGGATCACTTGGACCTCGTGAATTTGATGTATTGGTTGGGCCTGTACATAAGACGCCCTAGCAGTTGTATTTTAATTTTGTATGTGCTATCACAGGCTATTAAATTGGAATTTTTAAAGAGAGAGCTCTGTCTATCTACCTATCAGTTAAGAAATCTAAGTATTTACAAAAGGTTGGCTTTGTTTAAAAAAAGCGAGAGTCCTTCTAAGGCTTAGCCTTTCCTTGTCTTTTTTGAAGTGTCCAGCCTTTTTAACATATTTATATTATGGTTTTCATCTTCAACATTTTTTGCTGTTAAACTCTTGCTTTGGGAAAGATTTACAAGCTCTTTTGTTCTTCAGTGATTTACATATAATGTCTCTTCCACTGCACCTGTTACTAATTTGTAACCATTTACAATGGTCGAGGTTTTAACATGTGAAACCTATTG